TTTTTTTTTTTTTTTTTTTTTTTTTTTTTTTTTTTTGTTAACTAAATTAAACATGAGGATAAAATAAGCAAAATACCTAAAAATAAAAAATAAAGCGAGCATTTCTACAGCACAACTAGGTCACAGCTTCCCCAGCATGCGAGTCGTGGCAGCCACGGCTCAGCCCCTCGAGCCTCCCAGGTTCAAAAATGACATCTCTCTTAAAAGGCTGCCTCCCGAAACCCACACCTGCTCCCCGGTAAGCCCAGCTGGAGCCATCTGCTAACGGCTCTGCCTCCCGCAGCCCTCTGGCCCCTCGCTCCACCGGGCTGTTCTGCTTCTGCGGCGAAGAGTAACCCTTCTCCCCACCTGAACGCGGCGAGGGCCAGCCCGTACCACGGAGCTTTCCCCAACCATGGAGCTGCCCCAGCGCACCCAGCAAAGGCACTGCATCCCCCTCCATGGGCACACTGCAGGGAAAGCTCTTGTATGTCCCCTAACTGAAGCCCTTGGCATCCCAAGGACGATTAGGAGCTGGACTTCAAGAGAGATTTGGCACCAAATACCCTTCTGCACAGCTTTCCACGTGGGGAGAGTACAGAGGAGGAACGGTTTCCCTGCCCAAGGCCAGGGCAGCAAAGCAAGGAGTGCCCTGGCACCGAGGGACACCGCTTCCCTTTCATGCCTCCATTATCTGCGTTAATCTTTAGTTGCTCAGAACAATAGCGTTTAAGGGTAACATCCCTCTCGGGAGGGTGGAGGAGGAGGAGGAGAAGAGTGTTGCTGCTTTCCTGCCGTGCAAAGGCAGAGCCACCCCGCAGAGCATACCTTGGCGCTGAATCAGCCAGCAGGTAGGTCAACATCCCGACTGCTATCATGGTCACCAGAGGGGAGAGAGCAGCCACCCCCCAGCCCCTTTCTGCTCCCACGGCAGAAGCCACCATTAATCCCTCTCCTCTCGGTTCAGCAGGTCTGCAACACTTCTACAACTGATATCCATCCTTTCCCTTCCCCCAGCTCCTCCTGGGAATACTCCGGCTTTACAGCTAGTGGGGAAAGAGCTGCTGGAGAAACGCTCCTTGTAACGTCAAGATGGGACTGTGCTCACAGCCGTCAGCAGCTTGGTAAAAATCAAAGGAGAGAAGCTTAAGCAGAGGCCTCGAAGCATTGCACCACCATTCACACCGTACCCGCGTGGGCCGCAGGCGTGTCGCTGCTCCCTGGGGTAAACCACGTACGCAAACCATACGGAAGCTCTGAGGAAATCAGGTGCAGCACCCCAAACACGTACAGAATGCTGCAGCTTCCTCACTGGGAAAAAAAAACAGAGCATGCTGCTCCCTTCCACCCCGTCTGCTGTGGTGGGACCACCCCATTGCTGCTGAAGTGGGGAGAGACCCAGACTCGGGGGAACCCAGCTCCAGTTTCATGCTGGAGCGGGATGATCAGGAGGACTGACATTACCGAGAGCAGCTGTGAACACAGAGCAGCAAGAAACAGTTCGTTAATTATTTCACAGGTCTTTTTTTAAATGACACTCCACTCTTCGGATTAAAGAACCTCAGAATGCTTTATGAATCCGAGTTCCCAGTGGCTCCCTTGGGAGGGAAGGAAACGCTATCCTTTTTGCTGAAAGACCGCGGGGTTAAGTGGGCTGCTTGGAGCCACAGCCAGTGATGGGCAGGAGCTTTGCCTTCCAGGCGCCTGCTCTAATCACAGATCTAAGGAACGTAATCAAACTGCAGCACCGAGAGAGGTAGGAAGGAAAACAGGCAGGGCCCCAAAGAAGGAGAACCGAGTAAATGGGGCGAAGAGCAAAGCTCTGAAAACTCGCCTCTGCATCGTTCTCGGTCTAGCGGCAGGAATGCTGCTGCGGGCCGGGCAGGAAGCTGCAGTGGAAGTCATTCCAATGGCATTTCCTGGAGAGCACTGCAGAAAAGCCTCCCAGGTCGCAGGCAGGACGAAAAGCTGCCAGGGATCTGCAGGCTGAGCCCCAGCCTCCAGCGAGGATACAGCTACCTGGGATGGCTGCGCCAGGCGGGACAGCCCGAGCCAAGACCCTGCCGGCAGTGACCATCAGGCAGGCAGTTCCCACAGCCAGAGTGGAACACCCCGTACTGCGGAGGGACACGAGGGACCCAGCTGGCAGGGGAAGAGTATTTTTTTTCATCCCGAGCAGGTGATGACAATAGAGGCATCGTCTCAGCTGCAAGGGATCCAGACTGTGAAATAATTACAGAGGACAAAGCGGAAAGTGATAACCCAGCTAAGCTTCGCAGACCACTGGTAGGGATTCATCTCTAAGCAAAGCACGGCCTTGGCTATCCACTGTCACCTCCCACAGCCAGCTCTGCTGCGTGTTGGCCAGCAAGTTAAACTGATGGCTGCCATCTCAAACAGGATTAGTGGTGCTAGGGCATCCCCGAAACCCAATGCGCTAACGCTTAAAACAGCAGAGCTTTGGGAATCAGCACTCACCCCAGAGGGAGCTGCGTTCCCCATAGGGTGCAACGTGCAGGTGTGCCCCCTTCCACACCTAAGCAGGGTGCTCCTCTGAGTCTCAGGGCACAACTGCAGCAGAATTTGAACTTGCACTTATCTTACGCAGTCCAAAAATCTCGGACCGACAAAGCGTGAGGGTCCTGGGGCACCCACGTTCAGCTGTACAGCGTGGCGGCTGCAGGGGAGGCTTGTGCAGGTTACCTGGGCGATGGCACGGGGCCAAAAAAGCATTTCTGAAGAGCTGAGAATGGAAGGCTTGCCCTCAACCTGAAACCATTGAGAAGGTTTGCAGCAAAAGCACAGGACGAAATCCCAGCTGCACTCTGTCATATGACACAGGCTGAGTCATTTCCTATTATTCAAGCAAAAAAAAAAATTTAAAAGGTAGAAAATGAGTTTGCTATATTGACATCTTCTAAGGGTTTTCCCCAAACAGAACCACAAGCTTCCAGTCCACCGCAGAGCAACACAACACATACATCACACACATCCCGGCACCCCGAGCCCTGCGTGGCCAGGGCCAGCTGAGAGCCTGGGATGCACAGAGCCAACGCAGGAAGCAGTCAGTCCTCCTTCAGCCTTGCCCAGCTTGTTGGGATTCTGTGTCACAGACTGGTGACAAAGATGCTGGTTTCTTTCAGTCCTGGCCTGGCACAGACTCCTCATGCTGGTCCCCACCACGCAACCTGCAAACAGGAAACCTCTTGCCTTTATGTCCACAGCTCTACCTCCAAGTCCCCCCACCCAGAACACCTTCTCTCTTTAAACCTCACTCTGAAAAGAGATTTAACCTCGAAAGAAAAGCTGTCATCCAGTGGAGGGTTACAGCCAGGCAGGAACTACTGCTCACTTTAATTTCTCAAACAGATTAAACACGGTCAGTACATCTCTGCCTGCCAGGCTCTCTCCCGCTCACCCTGCGCTTCCCCCCTCCTCCTACATTCCCACTCATCAGATTTCTCCCCCCACGACTCCCAGTCCCCACTGGGATCACTGTTTGAACTTCACAGCTAGTGGAATCTAGTCCTGGCCAAAGCAACTGCCTCGGGAAAGCCTCCTCTTTGGTTTTGATGGCTCACCAAGGCAGCAGCTCTCTCCTGGCTGGTTATTAAATGGTCCCTTTGGGTTGTTCTTGTTTGTTTTCTCAGTGCCAGATTGCAGAGAGGGCAAACCAAGGCAGGGCCAGTAAACGTGACAAAATACACCCATGTTAACGCTATGTAGTGAGATTGGCCATTTCTCCCTTGCCTCAAAAAATAATAATAATGGTTTTCTCAAGAAAACCGCTCCAGCCCAGCACAGAGCAGCCTTAACGAGGCCTTCCAAAGGCAACCTGCACCCCACAGCCATCCTACGCTTGCCTTTGTTCCACTGGTGAGGAATGAAACAGAGCTTCTTACGATACCTGGGATGGAGCCGCTCTCCTTCCCTCTTTTCAGAGGGGCTTTCCAGGAAGAGAAGTGCTGCAGCGCTCCAGAACACAAACCACCTGGTCCCTGCCAAGCAGGCCTGCCAGAACTTGCATCTCTCTCACCAGGACCTGCCTCTGCTGCACCTCTCTGAGAGCTTTGTTTGCGTGGGACAGGCTCTAACAGCTCGGATGCACCAAACAGGCTCCCCTGTGCAAACAGGGCAGCAGGAGAGGGACCGCTCCGTCACGTCAAGCGCAGGGTGGCACTCCCTCCTCGCAGGGGGAGCTGGCTGCAGGCCACCAGGTTTTTTTCCCTGCAGCTGGAGTCGCAGGAGAGCGAAGCAGAGCATCTCCCTGCACGCCCCATGCATGAAGCACTCTGGAGCTCTTATGGCCCCTCTGCATCGTGCCATCCCTACACTTGGAGTGGGCACAGTTGTTCCTTGAGAAGGGACACGAGGAAACCTGAAAGCTACAGCTGAGAAGTCAAACAAGCATTGCATTGGGGTTTGCAACAGGCTGGCAGCAGCCACAATGCCCAGCCCTTTTTTTTTTGGTGACTGGTGGGGTGAGTCCCCCCAACTACAGCATTTACCACCCTGCCTGGCTCCCCTTAAGCTACAGGCAGCAGCGCAGCCTGAGCAGTGAAGTTAGAAGCCCTGTTCAAGGTTAGAAGAAGAGAGCAAGGCTGTTCCCCTGGGTGGGAAACACAGCAAACGGCAATCTTCAAAGCAAAAGCTGGTGGGCGGGTCAGATAGAGAGGAGTCCTGACCCTTCCGCAATCTGTTCAACAAATATTTGCTCCAAACAATGAATTTACAGACAGACACAAAAAAATTGAAGAGTCTTAACCGTGATGGCTGGGGGTTGGGAATAGAGGGAGGAGGTATTTCATTCCCTGCAAGCAGGGACCAGTGATTTTCCACCAGTGATTTAATCTAAATCCCCCAGAGAGTTCATTTACAAAAAATCAGATTGCATTATCGCCTAGGTCTCCAGGATACAGCCCAATCCGTCACTAACAGCAACAGCCACACTAGCTTGGAAACCTCAATTTGATCACTCAATTCCAAGACTAATCTGTGGCTTTAAAAGCCAAAGCCAGAGGGGAGGGGGAAGGAACTCAGCATTTGGCCAGGGTTATCTGCAGGATGAGAGAGCTAATGGGCCAGAGACATCCTGATGAAATGGCCAACAGATCCCGAGGTTATTAATCGAAACCAACCTTCTCTGCCTGAGCAGCCCCACCCGGGTAGTGCCCCAGGGCGGCCGCATTCCTGGAATTCCTGCACCCTGTGTGAACCTCCTCCCTCTCCCTGGGTGCACCCGCTTTCCCTCTTCTCCAGAGACCCCAACATCGCTGGGCCAGGCCTGAGGAGCTCTATGGGGCTCCTGTGCCTCTCCTCTGTCAGGCTGGGCTCAAAGGTTCCTGTCCCCTCCTCGAGATGCAGGGACCTGCTGATGGACTGTGAGATGAACAGGGCTGAAAGGCCTCAGCTCCCCAGCGAGGCAATTCCCCACCGTTTAGATGCTAACGCCTGACAACATGAGCTCTTCCCATTGGGCACCAGCAAAGGTTACCCCAGCAGGGAAGCACTAAGATGCAGAAGCCAAAAAAAAAAACAAAACAAAAAAGAAAACTCAAGACATCTGTAGGTCATATACCTCCCGCTGGCAGTCCCAGGCAGCACCGCACAGCCGGACCCGGCATTTCAAGAATGCTTCCTGAAGAAATGCTTATTCATGTTAATACCTCACCATTGAAAGCTTACGGGGGTTCGCTGCTGGGGCAGCTGGGAGTATTGCTCCCTGCCAAGCAAGAAGCAGCTGCAGGTTTAAGAGCTCACCAGGGCAGAGATTGCCCCCACTGCACCAGCTCCAACAGCCCC